GAAAACACCGCCCGGTAAGTGAGCCAGGGAGTATATCCGTTCTATTATTACTGAGTGACGCTCTCTGGGCAAAATTACAACCAGCCCATTCTTTAAGAAGGTTTTATTTTATAGGCTAATGTGTTTAATTATACTGAAATGCCTTTAAAATGTTACAAAGTATGTCAACAATTTGGCTAGCTGTACCCTTGTCGTTATAAACATTTCAAAAATAGTTAACTTGTGGATATCATTTGTCTTGAAAGACCTCATGAATGAAATGATCAGTGAATCGATCTATTTGAATTAGAGAGGTATATTTCAATACCACAAAATTGCAATAAACGTTAGGATTGCATGTCGTAGATCGTTATACTTAAGATAGCGTTTTCAATATCCTTTCAAAGATATATGAGTTTTAAAAAGGGTCGTTTAATCTGTCTATATATGTCCTTTGGTCAATAGACAGAGACATTTATCATATACCTTATTAATATTAGTACTATGTACAAGTTACTATATATATATACCGGACTACTATTTATAACAACTGTGATCAGCTGAAAAATATAGAATAGGAAATACCAAGTTAATGTTGAGAGCTTTATTCAAAAGCACTGAAATGATACAATAAACACAATGAGTTTTATGGGTGTGAGCATATCGAGGGAAAGAAAGTAACAAAGATGAATTCAAAATGGCTGACCATTTCATCGAATTGTCGAAGTGAAACAGCATTTTGAAAGTCAAATCCCAGATATATTTTGGTGTATAAATTAGGTTTTGAAACGATTATTAAAACAGTTTATCTTCGTCCCGTCCAGCTACATGAAACTTTATATCACTGGTAAAAAGCCACAGCGTTTAACGGACTATAGTTTCGGGTACAATGTTCCAAAAAGTCCGCCTCTTCCCCTAACATTTTTGATGGTTATGTTCCGCGAATTTTCACACGGATTTATAGCCTGGTAAAATATTACAAATTACGAGACTGATATGGAGCAATGTAATCAAGTGGGGGTTGACGTCCTACTTTTCTGCACCAGTCGGGCTTATAGATGCCACGCGTATTTATATTTTTTTTGTCCAATCGATATAACACTGTTAAATTCAACTGTTTTGACGGAAATTATAACTACACAAGGTTCACTTTCCTTTAAGGAAGACCCGAACCTTGGGTAGAACAAATCAGATCCAATAAGATGAAATTAAATAGGGTTTAACGTCCTACTGTTCTGCTCCGACTGGACTCACTTACCATCGGTCTCGTGTTCGCGCCCGGTGTTGGCCGAGAAATTTCCTCGAAATGTTCCTCCGTGGTCCCCCCCCCCCTTGTCAGAGGTGAAGGATGGGACGAAAGACCGAGGTCCCGTGTACACACTGGAGTGCGCGTAGAAGAACCCTTGACAGTTGGAATTCGAAATAAGAGTAGGCCGTAGCGCCACTGTCGGTGCACAAAAGTAGGTTGTTAAACCCTATTTCATTTCAGTAGTAATCTTAATGCTACAAATCTCCACATTTCGCGAATATAGCGCTTGTAAACCAAATGTCTATAATTAGCTGGAAATACAAATGGTGTTTAGTATATAAATATTATTGTATACCGTACTGAAACAAGTGGTTTACACACCTGGCGCTATTTTCTATCACACTCGTTTCATTTTTAAGAAATATAGTTATTGCTTCAGGATTCATGAGAGTCAAGTCAAAGCCATTCTGTAGTAAATTCTCCACCAATTTATAGTCTGTATTATCATAAGCCATCGATAGTAACGACGAGTCTAAGGAAGTGACGTGTCGAAGTAATGTTAGAGCCCACTCCCGGTTTTTAACCATTATAGCATACTGTAGCATACGTGTGAGATGAGTCTGATCGAACGAATCGAAATTTTGTTGCTTGGCTAACAAAATGTTACATATCTCCGCATTGCCAAGACCGACAGCAATGTGTTGTGCAGTTTCACCGTACTTGTTAGTGATATTAACATCTATTCCACATAAAACAAGCAATTTAACAACTTCGGGGTTTTGAATTCGAACAGCATGGTGTAGCGCAGAATCCTTAAACTTATTCGTCTGATTTAATTGGCACCCCCTGTTTATCAGCAATTTGACAATTTCTAAATTACCTGCTGCCATCATTAAAGGGGTGACCTTAGTCGTCTTCTCGGTTTTCTCAGGGTTGGCCCGAGATATAAAATTATTCAGTAACACATCTACACAATGTGTACGATGATTGATAATGGCTGTTAACAGTGGCGTATTACCATATGAATCAGTATAATTAACATTTGCTCCATTTTCCAACAACGAAAGAATACTGCCAGAATCACCACACTCGCATGCTCTTAGCAATGTTTTATTGTTACCGTTTCCCATATTCGCAGTGTTTGGTTTCATACATCTACAATCTGTTGTACCAATCCACCATGGAATGTGTTGAAGTTTTGCCTATGGCTTGTGAGGAAGTTTACAGTTTGTCTGTTGAATCGAAGCAGACTAACTCAACACATTCGTGAAATCCACTTCTAAACAGCTTGCACCTGCTATAATAAAGTAAAAATATCAATACAAAATTTAGAATCAAATAGATTTAAATTACTATCAAATTATGGGGTTTTTTTTTTACAAAAATTTAATCAAAACATTCAAATTGAGAAACACACATTTAAAACTTATAAAAAAAATTCGGAAGAGTGGGCGGTGGGGGTTGGGCACAAACATATCGCAAACTTAATTACACATAAAATTGTATCAACATATTATATTATATTACATTACACTGAATGTAATCATCTCCAACATAAACCACATTACCTTTTAATATCCAACATAATTTTATATCAAATTACACTGACATTAATATCTACCCAAATACTACATCACACGGACACAACTAATAAAATTAAAATTTACTTACGACCTAGTTTTCCTTGTGCTAGAAAAGGCTTTTATATCAAAAGGTATTCACCTTTATATCAGCTAATATTAATAATCGGCTGTCGGCTAATATATTTGTTTGTATAAAATAGTGTATTCAACTTACCTTTGAAATATCCTGTCTGTATAGGTTACATACAACCAACCTATATAACTTTTCACTATTGAAGGTGTACAATCGATAGACTAAACTGGTTTAAAAACTAATCAGCCACAATAACAGCGCCTTAAGTATTGCAAAAAATGACAGACCAGAAAAATATGTTATATGATTTCCTAAAAAATATTTGAGAAAATAATGGAGGTTATGTACCGTTAGAAAGCGATTAGAGAACCTGTCCTTTTATTTCAGACACAATAACTTACCTGGGGTAACCCGGATATAAGAGTAGCTCTATAAAATCAATATAAGTTGGAAAGCTCGTTGTTGCGGCCAGTTTCCATACTGGTAAATATTATTCCAAAAATGTGTTCTTTATAATTTTTAATTAGTAAGGGAGCTAGGTTGAGGTTGTTTCGAAAATCGTGTACAAAATTTCTACTATGCTAGATGAGTGGACAGCGGTGCCCGATACGCTGAACCTTGATTCTTAAGTTGCGGGTCACTTTCCCCTGGTATGGGGTGGGGTGGTCCGACAAAACGTCGAAATTTGGAGTTTAATTCAACCACGGACCCGTCATTCTCCCCTAAAACACCCCTTTGCCACCCTGAGAGATAGGTTAATTCGACTTCCGCCTACAACATTAATTTTTTCGTTAAAAGTTTCACTGTTGGTCCACTAGAACATAACAGTAACTTATGAACGCGAAATGGGAGAAATGGCCAAAAATGACGATTTACTTTGACTTTTGAGTTCAACGCAACGATCAACTTTCGTGCATACGTCGACCAACCTCAGGTGTCATCAAAAACACTGCTTAAGAAGACCCCCGACCCTTCCCTCCTGTTATTTAAAGGACAATATTGGTGCCAGTCATTATCACATATGTGAAAGAGCTGGTTAAACACATTCCAAATATAATTTTAACACAGAGATCATTGCTACGATAGCTGAGTAATACAGGTTTCCTGAATCGGAAGTGACGAACGCCAAAGGAAAACACGAGTCGTCTCTCTATATAACTGACTGATGTGACGAGTGATAACGGATATACGGGCGAATTTCTGCTCACTAATAATTCCTTCGAAGACCAAAATTGTTATATGGGACTCTAAGAGGATATCTGACAATTCATAAAAGAATTGACTGCCACTAGATAAGTGAACACGAAAGAAAAACAGAAAAAGTCGGTACATTACCATGTTTTTATAAGGTATAGAATGAATATAAACAAGGGAATGTACAGGCTATTTCTATTTTTCTCGTGTTCTCTTATCTAATGACATTCAATTACTTTATTAAATTGTTAGGTATCCTCTTACAGTCCCATATAACAACTTTTGGTCGGTACATTACCATGTTTTTATAAGGTATAGAATGAATATAAACAAGGGAATGTACAGGCTATTTCTATTTTTCTCGTGTTCTCTTATCTAATGACATTCAATTACTTTATTAAATTGTTAGGTATCCTCTTACAGTCCCATATAACAACTTTTGGTCTTCGAAGGAATGTGAGCAGAAATTAGCCCGTATATCCGTTATCACTCGTCACATCAGTCAGTTATATAGAGAGACGACTCGTGTTTTCCTTTGGCGTTCGTCACTTCCGATTCAGGAAACCTGTATTACTCAGCTATCGTAGCAAGGGCCAGGTGTCTTCTTAAGCAGTATTTTTGGCAACATCTGAGGTTGGTCGACGAATTACATTTACACTTTAAATCATGAGGGTTGTCATTGGGTCAGGTGGCGTGTTTCCACCCCCACCCCACCTTGTACGTGACAAGGAGTTGGGTCGCATGTACTAGCTAGTGTCGAGTGGCCATTAAAACCCATCTCTCTCTCTCTCTCTCTCTCTCTCTCTCTCTTTCTCTCTCTCTGTATAAATACAACAAAGATCTGGCGTTTGCATAGATGATAAATGACAGATTTATGGTATGCAGATCAGCAAGCCTACGAACCAGGAAATGAAACAAAACAAATAGAGATACAAGTTTTAATAAAACTATCTTCTCTAAACACCTATAGGTTTCAGCTTACAAGCTTCTGGTTTGGTTCCCTGAAAAATATTTTAAGAAGACAATGATTTCAGACAGAAATTAGAACTCATGCTTGAACCAATTAGAACATTAGAGAATTTGCAAGCTCTACACCTTCTTGCAGTGGTATGTTTCCTTAGGGTACAAAGAATAAGTATGCAAAGTTTCAAGATGATACGTTAAGAAATGCGGCCTGTAGAAGACAAACAAATACAAAAAATGGGCGTGGCTTTGCCCCTGGGGGTCGGACATGCACAAAAAACAATAGGGATCATCCTTAGGGTATAAGGAATAAGTATGTAAAGATTCAAGAATATCACTGAATAGGGGCCATCTTTAGGGTATAAGGAATAACTATGCAAAGTTTCAAAAGCATCTGTTAAGAATTACGGCCTGTAGGCGACCTACAGACACCCACCTCCCGCCCCCCCTCCACACACACACAGGGGCTACGGCATAAAATACGTCGGCATTATGAATGTGGACGTATAGTAAAATTGAAATAACGTCGGCGGCCATCTTTGATGACGTCATTTGGGGATTAACCTACCACGTGGTGAGTGTCCACCCAAGTCCAAAATACTGACTAAGACACCTACTAAACATTATACGATTTTTTTTTATCCCAACTCAAACTTTCCTACAGAACCATAGTAGTCAGATCCAGGACTCGGTTGAGAAGATCAAATGAAATGAACGTCCTACTGTTCTGTTCCGAACTTGGCTAAAGAACACAGGCATACGCCATACAGTGTGCTATGAGGGAAATTTTGCCCGGGAAGCGGCGCTACGGTCTACTCTTATATCGAATTCCAACTGCCAACATCCGAACGACCTCCGGGCTAGCGAGCCAGCGTCTTAGCCACTGTGGCCCCTCATAGTGGATCAATCTCCCATAATGCCCCTTTAATGGTCAAAAGAATAAAAAATTATTTCGATCATCAACATATCAGGTTGATATGATTATGAACCGAAAATATCAACCTATGATGACGTCATGACAGGTTGATATGAGATATAACTTCTATTCACATCAAAGATAAAACTGTCGCCAGTTGTATATGAAAATACAATGTCCCTATTAGACATTTTCATTCCTCACCTGATAGGTCTGACACACCAATCCAAATAGATTTTTTGCAGATAATTTTTTTATCCTTTCTGTATGTACCTGTACGACATACAATTAATATTTTTAGAATATATTTCATTAGAATACATTTCATAAATTCTGCAAAAAAGTGTGTTTTTTTAATTCATAAACTATTAAAACAATTGATTTTAACCACATACTCTATAGGGTTAAACGTCCACTCAACACAAACTAGTTCATTTCTGGACTAACATGATTCAATAATTTGCTTGCGTGTAAGGGTCTTTAGCAGTGGAAGGAAACCGAACGACCCGGAGAAAACACACGAGGGTGGACAGGAGATCCTTGTCACACACAAGCTGAAAATCGAAACCACGTCACTTGACTCAATGACAGACCTTATGATCTAAAGCCCATGCATTAAACCATTCGGTCACCCCCCCCCCCCCGCCCAAGAAAACCAGCGGTTGCCACTTGCCAGGCAAGATAAGCCCACATTTTGCATGAAATGGATAGAGAACACGCTAAAAACAAAGGCGATTTTTCGTACAATCAGGGGCCATAGTCCAGGAAGTTATGGTCTAAAATGCGCAGAGATCGTTGGGATATAAATATATATTTAAGTTTCATCAATACCGGATAAAATTGTGACCTCTAGAGGGTCCACAACCTTCGTATTACATACTTTTACACAATTTGCGTGCAAAGAGCGGCCATTTTGTCCGACAGTTTCATTTCAACCTTCATTATGGTAAAATGGTGATATATTTGAACGGTTTTTAAAATCGGATAAGAATTGTGATCTCTTGGGAATCCACAAGCTAAAAAACACGATTTTTTGTACAATCAGGGGCCATAATTCAGAAAGATACAGTCTAGGATGTGTGCGAATATTGAAAGGAACCAAGATCTTTGGGTTATAAAAATACATTTCAAGTTTCATCAAGATCGGATAATAATTGTGACCTCCAGAGTATCCACAAGCTAAAAACGTGATGTTTCGTACAATGAGCTGCCATAATCCATTAAGTTATGGTCCTGTGGAGTGTCCAGAAACAAATTGTCGACGGACGGACGGACGGACCGACGGATGGAAGTCCTGGTGGACAGTGGCGACGGAATAATACGTCCTCATGAAAATGTGGGCGTATAAAAAATAACAAACACAGCAGTAATCCTAAACCAAGGGATACCACGGAGTACTCACATTGTTTATAACAACCCACGGGACCCAATCCAACTTTGGGTCTAACGAGCCTTGTTGTATACTTGATGCATGTTGTAACATCATTCCTTCGTTTCCTTTGGCACAGGTCAAAATATCATCTATGGGCAGTGATTGATTGACAGAACACTGCGATAAAATAAAAACTGGTTAAAATATGTGTTCTAGATACTGATTGGTCGACATAATACTAGAAACCTGGTTAAAGTATATGTGTTACATTATACTGAGTGGTTATTTAATACAAATGTCGGATTCTGGAAGCAGATGTCCAACCACACTACAGCATACACCCACAGATGGTCTTCTTGTACAAGGATCGACAAGGGTATTCAAATATTGGTAGTTTACATGTTAAAAGATCAATTTGCTTTTAGCAGTGAGGAGATTCAGTAAAACTCCAGCAATAAAATAATAGGGCATATCTGTATTATACAGCAATATATATCACCAGTGCCCAGTTCAGTCAAAAACGTCTCGCTATCTGCTAATACGATTGCTTCCCACATCCTTATGACGTAACGACATGCAATAACACCATTACCCACACACCTGCCTATCCCCATCCCATGTAACACTAGTTAATATAACGCCCTGAAATAATTCTTGTTTGCTTCTTTACAAGCATTTTGAACAGAAAGTTTCATCCCAATCGGTCAATCGCCGTCATATCTGCAAAAATTGAGAAATTTATTTTTGAAGCAAGGACAATAACTCTGTCAACATTAATCATAATTCTTAATTATGGCGCATCATTTAGTTGTATTTCATTTAGTTGTAATTGTACCGCCAGGAAACAAAACGAGTAACCTGTAGAATAACATCAACTTACATCACGAGCAGCTTTTTCAGGACCATCCGTAAATATGACTTCTTCCATACAGTAAATAAATTGCGAGTACACATCAAAATCATTTATATGTTTAATAGCACACGCCTAAAATACAATATTCATATACTGTAATTATAGTGAAAGAAGATCTTTTAGAACTTTATACACCCGGTCGAACATTACGCACATCAGCTTAAAGCTTAAAACTGTTTAACTAGTCTCTTATGGTCAGCGCTCTTTTAGTTTTCAAGTCCCTGTTTTATGGAATAACCTACCATTTAGTTTAAGATGCTGTACATTGTAGCAAGATTGTTAGAATTTTTGATCTTTAAATTAATTATAGAATTATATTGAATTAATTAATATCTTTGGCTAATTATTAGATGCACACATTGTACAGAAGTCATTGTCTAATATGCACTTAAATCAAAATGAGTGAATGAGTGGCAGATTGTTATATAAAAGTTATGGAGTTATAATTTGGTAAACATCCAATTCTAGGTTGATAACAGATATCTTGTGTGAAATTTGCACTCAAACTTTCCTACAGAACCATATTCAGTTCCAGGACCATACAGCCAGTTTAGTCTATTTCGGGCCCTGAGTTCACAAAGCATTCTCAGACGTAAGTTAAGAATTTACTCAACTTTCAATCACTGTTTATGAGAAATATCTTTGATCCAAAAACACAAAACTTTGCACATAGTTTCTTTTTGAGGTATTTGATACATTAAGACAACAATAGTTTTATAAAGAGCTATATTTTAGTTAGAATAAGGCAAACAGTTTTGAGTAAATTCTTAACTTAAGTCTGAAAATGCTTTGTCAACTCGGGGACTGGTGATTTCAATTGGTAGGTTCACAAGATGGGCTGGTACGAAGACAATAATAACACCACCGTTGCAGTTCTTATGTCTATGATTCATTCAATGATTGTACTTGTTGTTTCAATCCGATTGATCTATCATTTTCAGCCAGCCCACGTAGCTCTCAAATCAATTAAAAATAAACTGTACATTGTTAAAATTTGATCACGTACAAAGCATCAAAATATTCTAAATGTATCATTTCAGCTGCCCCTGTTCCACTCAACGGGATAAAGCAAATATTAATTAGCACCAGGCAAGCAATATTTAAAAACTATAAAAAACCCTGACGTACTTGTATGACGTTACCGTAACATTCTTTACTACCATGTTGACAGGTGAATGTGTAGGAACCATCTGTTTCTTGTTTTTCCTGTAGAGAGAGAGAAAAATATGGATTTTAACGTCCACTCGACACAATTCGGGTCATTTCAGGACTAACACATGATTCAATTTTATTTCCCGGTCTTTAGTAGTGGTGCAAACTGACCCAAAGAAAACCCACGAGGTAGGACAGGCGACCCTACTCCTTGTCACATACAACTGTGGAATCGAAGCCACGCCAGTTGACTCAGTGACAGACCTTGTGATACAACGCACACGCGGTGACCATTCGGCCACCCAACCTTCCATTTTCTTTCCTGTAATAATAACATTCATATGGTTCCTGTAATATATAACATCAAATAGATAACGCCCAAATTGTATCTGTAATAAACCAATGCAGATACTATCCCGCGATAAATGTTCTTTTACGTGCACACCCGCGTGTATCCTGGGCCTTAGTTTTTCGTCCATCCGAACAACTAAACGTTGACTCTTGTCGGGCCTTCTTTTTGAAGCACTAATAACGTGAAACCATGCTGGAAACCGGTGATAATTATTGTTGCCTCCGGAGGGTTGACACGGTTTCTTAATTAAGGGATACATTTCTGAGAATTATCGTCAGAAATCATCGATGATTTCATAATTTCCTCCCATTAGTGCGTTAACATAGTTTCGTAATTGAAAGTGCATAACTCCGACATGAGAAATTATTGATATTCGATAGAATTCTTCTGTTTATCCACCTGAACAACGTATTAAAATTTATCTACGTTTACAAAATAGTATGGACGGGCGGACAGGGTAAGGGCAATATACTACCACATTAAAATGTTGGCGTTTGAAACTATAATAACTGCAAATGAAATTACTGTAGCTTTTCCGTAAGGTACCAAACTGATTTCCACAATATCTTTCAACGTATGGTAGGTGGGCCTGAGCTGAGTTAGAAGAAAATGTTTTGAATCTGGGCACAATGTCTCGTAATATACATCTATCTTCACAGGTGCAGCGAGATCGACATTACCATCAGTAGCCGCAAACAAAACACCCAAACACAAAATAGATAGCATCCTGTGATCACTGATCAACTTCTATCAAGTAAACCATACAAATGGCAGAATGATCTATTTATCTTCAACACTCAGTATATCAGCAGCTGTCACCTGTACATGTTATTGTATAAGTGTATATTATAACACACTGGGAAGATTTCAACATAAATCGATTTATTACCTTACACTGCTATCTCAATACATGATATAGACATAGAGATAAAGCTGTGACCAATAAATACATAGCCTTTGTTTTCTTCCAACAGATTGTCGATATATACTATTCAAAAAAAGTAGGGGATATTTGATTTTTAAGTGTTATTAAAGTCACCTAATGAAACTAACGAAGAAACAAATGACAAAATGAAATGAAGTTCACATTCATCGACTTATTCCAAATGATCGTTAGACTAAGTAAGGCACAGACTGACCATTATAAGGGTAAAATGATACCCGGGGTCAAACAGCAAAGTTACCACAGCATCACAACCAAGTCAGTAACGGGTAAATCCTCCTCTGTTTGCCAAACAAGCATTGATCCGACGTGGCATACTCCTAATGAGACGTCTAAGGTCATTTTGGTCCAGATTGTCCCATTCCTGTTGCAACGCAGCAGCAAGTTCTTGGACATTGGCAGGACGTTGTTGACGTTGACGTAACCTCTGTCCAAGCATGTCCCAGACATGCTCGATGGGGGAGAGGTCGGGACTCAGTGCTGGCCAAGATAATGTGGTGATGTTCTGTTGTTGGAGGTAACCTGTAACGATCCTGGCCCTGTGACATCTTGCGTTGTCATCCTGGAAGATGAAACGGCGGCCATGACGTCGTGCGAACGGCACAACATGGACTGCCAAGATGTTGTCCCGGTAGTACTGGCCTGTAACACGCCCTGCAACAACATGTAAAGCCGTTCTTCCAGCAACAGTGATGCCTCCCCACACCATAACAGAACCACCCCCAAATCGATCATGTCTGATGACGTTAACGTCTTGGAAGCGCTCGTTTCGACGACGCCACACCCTCCTACGTCTGTCCAAAAAATCAACAGTGAACCTTGACTCATCTGAAAACATCACATTGCTCCAGCGTCGATTATCCCAGTGTTGACGATCCCTACACCAACGACGTCTTGCCTGAATGTGATGATCTCTCAAACAAGGGATCACGCGAGGACATCGGGCGCGAAGGTGACCCCTATGCAGTCGATTCCGAATCGTCTGGCCACTCACTCTCACACCAGTGTCTGTTTGAAGACGAGCGCTGATCTGATTTGCTGTGATGACACGATTTCTCAAGGCCAAGGTACGGATAAATCGATCCTGGGCTTGAGTTGTCGCCCTTGGTCGACCTGAGCGTGGTCTGTCCTGTACAGATTGTGTATCACGGTATCTGGACCATAGCCTGCTTATGACAGACTGAGAAACATTCATCGTCCGCGCCACAACCGCCTGTGTTGTGCCGATCTGTAGCATGCCAAGGGCACGTAACCTTTCATTTTGGGTAAGCCGACGCATATCAAAATTTGTTTTCTGGTCACTAAAACAATTAAACTGATGTTTCCACCCTGGAATTCAATGCCACAATGACTGTAACATTCAAAGTCAGAGTCGTGAAAATCTTGGGTTGGACCCCCATGATGATCCCAAGCATCACCTGCATTCCATGCGGTAGCTATTGGTGCGTTTGGGCGTCACATGTAACTGGAAATGTTTCTTCTGTTAGGTTCTATAGTGACTTTTTTCGTAGTCATTTGCATATTTTAGTATTATGCCCCCAAAATCAAATATCCCCTACTTTTTTTGAATAGTATATTACCACCCCACTCCTTGTATTTACGGCAACCCGACCGACCCTGTTTTTGAGAGTAAGTCTCTCACCCTAATCTTTTGTTTCTCATTTCCCAGATCGTATAAATCTGCCTTGCAGACACTGAAATTTCGGTATCTCCAATATTCCGAATCGGCATTTTTTTTATATTTTCCAAAACCTCACTCAGTAATCAAACTGGAAATACTATTTAGAAATGCTAACAACTGTCAGTAACTTTAAAAGTTAGATAAATAATAATAACTGAACTGTATGTAAAATGATATTAAAAAGGCTATAGAATGCGAGAATTGATTTAGGTTACTAAAAGATTAATATTAGTTCAGTTAGTAACCAATCTTATCACCGCAAGATCGTCGACCGACCGACCTTATTTTGTGACCAAATAACCGAAAACACAGATTCTTTTTTGCTTTGGCCGTATCTTATTCCAAGCAAAATATAAAGTATTAAAATACGTTGGACACTAGAACAACCCCGTGGTTTCCAGTGAGCTTATCAAGTTGTGGCCATGGGCAGTTGGTTTCAGTCACAGAATGCGAGCGGCGATTAGTGTTTGCACCAGGGCGTAAATAATAAACGAATATTTCAGCTTTTTGGAGTATTTGTCATTTGGTCAAGAATCGTTTTGACGAAATAACCCTCTTCAACTTTATATGCACTTGACACAATTCTATGCAACGACAATGGTAAAAATACATTCGCTTGATAATACCGATACGTCGCTCACTTCTTACACAGAATTGTGTCATGTGTATTTTCAAATGTCATTAATGCGGTTAAAATCTTTTTTCGACCATCTTGAGTGTTGCATTTAGAATCTGACAAATTATATAATACTGTATTTAATATCTATACAAATGGGATATCTAATAACTACTGAAGTGAATATAATCAGATTTACCAAGTGACCTTTGATCAACGTCATTACAAATAGTGTTCTGCCCCTGTATTCGAATATTCGATCGCAGAACTCCGCAAATCGAATACTAGTCTGATGTTGGAATATTCGGAAAGAATTAAATTTGATTTATATTAGCCAGTTCCTCTTATAGGAATAACTAATTTAGTAGCAGCTGTTCATTGTGGATATTTTCCTGCTCTGGATTGCATTATAATCACAGATATAGGCTTAAGCCGTTAGTTCACAGACCTTTGCAAGGTTCCATGTGTTGATCCAGGTTAAAACCTGTGAACTAATCATCAGCGGTTACATTATTCGAATGAGCATTGATTTCCAGAAGTTGCTGTGTGTGTGAGTTAGTTGTATTTTACGTCCGCGTCCACCGAGGTGATATCGCAGACAATAACATGTTATGTTATGACAAGTGAAGTTGCTAAATTAGCAAAGTTTTATATAGGGATCCCTGCCACCAGTGGGGCATCCCAGAAGACATGTTTAATGAGGCGTGTGTTGTGCAGGAGTTAAATCTGCCCATTGCGGGTCTTTTTTCTGGCTCCATGACAAGTCCATAATCAACTCTCTGGGACATTGGGTGGCTTAGATATTGCGCCGCCAGATTTAAGTTAAGCGATAATATTGCACCACTCACGGCGACGGTCAATTGAAGGACTGACAATGGAGACTTCGTTTATTGTCGTGGCAATGGCACTTGACAATCGACAATATGAACTGCCAATCGACAATCGTCGGACATAACAGGCTATTTCTTGTCAAAACTACTCATAACTTCGCTCATCATAGAATAAGTTGACCGAAATTTTCATATTTATTTTCCATTATCTATTTGTAAACTATTATGGAAAGGACGGCAGACTCTTTATCTAAATCTTATATAAATCCTCTTGGTGGCAGAAACTTTCTAAATAAGAATCTTTATGTGGTTATCGTATTATAGATGGTTGAGAAATAGTGGGCCTACGTATTCTTTTAATTAATGTTCCGTGTTCTCGTATTTTTGTATCAGCTATTCGAATACTATTCTAATATTATCTTGATATTCGCCGAATATTCGAGTAGTGATTTGGTTCGAATGTCAGAACACCAATTTCAGATCAAAGCCACTTCATAACTACACGACATTACAACGAATGCATACAATGCATACATTATGTTCTTATCAACACAAATCACATACACGAGTTATCCCGTTTCACGCAAATGAGCGTGAAACGTATTCAAATAAATTGTTATTTTTTGTTTCCAAATCCAGCATTTTGGAGTTATTGGGTGTTATTTGGGAGTTATTGGGTGTTATTGGGTAATTCGACGTGCCGCTTGATATTGGCTTAAAACGCCTTAGTAACATAATTACACACCAACTGATATTTAATCTAAAATTAAAAACATGTTTGTAGTTGGAAGATGACTTAAGTTAAACCATACGTTTGCTAAAGTTAATCTCAGGTAATTGGTGGTCGTCTTGGATTTTACAAAGATGTCATGTGTTATACAACTAGTGGTTTGTTTTAATGGATTGTTTGGTCAATAAAACCTTGGTATAGTGGCCATTTTGGACGCCATCTTGATTTTCACCCCTCCCTTTTATGATTCAAATTGAGGCGACACGTAAATGCACACGGGACTTCCTTCAGCTTATTTATTAGCGAGTAACCCAAATAATTGTTCAAAAATACCAATTATTATTTTAACCTCCAATTTATAATGACTTATTTTTCATCAAATATTGGCCTATTCACTTTTCTGCGCGTATCTTATTTACATGGGCGTGTGTGTGAGTGTGCATGGACCTTATAATACATTATTAGGTACATCATGGTGTGTGTTTGGTGATGGTGGTGTGCGCAAGTGTGTGTGTGTGTGTGTGGGGGGGGGGGGGGGGGGTATAGTTTGCTTTCCAACCAGTAAAACAAAGTACCCGGTGACAGTTGGTCTGGGGACATTCTGCTTAGTGCGACATTTTTTTCGGGCATCATCGTTACTTGTTTTGTCAATTTGTATTTTCGGGAAGTCAAATTTCGGGTGTCCGGTGAATTCAGCTACAAGAGCCTGGTTGATTAGTTGAGTGGGATTTCGGTTGCAAATCCACATAAATAAGGCTATATTGGAGCATTTTCAAGTTGCCTCACTCACGGGCTGAAATAACGGGAAAACGCGTGTGCAACCGTCTAATTATGTAAGATTTTCTGGGGGAACTGAGCATGCCACGTATGCAAAAAAGAGCAAATGAAATTTAGATTAAAATGTAATGTATAGAATGTGAATTCACCACGATGAAGAATATTTGTTATGAAATATGCAGATCAACAGATAAATAAAATTCAATTTCCTGTGAAATGACTAATAACATTTATGGAAATAGTTCCAGTCCATTAAATATGCGTTTTGTTTTTAAAGTAATGATACA